GAAAAAAAAAAGTGTACTGCTTATACCATATGAAAAGGAACTGCAGTATGAACCAAACACTTTCAGGAAAAACCTAAATTTTACACTCCATTTACTAACAAGACTTTTTATATGCTTCTTTAATTTTTATCCAGTTTTAACTCCTGCAGCTAACTTCAAGGTCATATGTCATGTCTGGAAACACTGACAACACTCCCACATAAAACCACCACAACATTGCTCTTCTGTTGGGAATAGACACAGTACACAATTCCTTCACAGAAGTGAAACATCCATTAAATGGACTCTGCTTTTGGCAGACATTCTAGCATCTGCAGACTTCAAAACTTGAAGCTTGTATTATTCCATTGCAAATTCTTTGCCAAGGATGGCAACTGTGTGACCTGTAGACTAAGCTTACCCCACCAAGTTCTTCAATAATGCCAACAGATGGCTTTTATTTTTAAAAAGTAAGCAAAGGCTACAGTACCCAGCATGCACCGTTTCATTTTAAGTACAGCAGGTAGGTAGGCTCAACATATAAACACTGCACGTTGGGACATATGCATACAAATACATATTGTACCTCCACAACAAAGAAAAAAATATCTATAGATAAGTCATTCATGCAACTTAGATTGACAGCAGAGACAAAGTTAGGGCACCCCAGTGCTGAAAGGCATATCTAAACGTTACTATAAAGATATGTTAATCAAGATCTTCAAGTAGATGCCTAAAATCTGGCTATTATGTCTTGATTTCAACAGAGCTTCTGGGCGTTTTGAAAGGCATGCCACTTATATAAGAATCTAATTTTAGGTTCCTTTTTGGTCAAGTTTACTCAGAATAGATAATTTATGCTTGCTAAACTAAATATGAAGTTATAAAAATATTACCTAACGCAAAGCACAAAGTGAGCTGCCAGTGTACTATATAAAATTAGGAGGTGGAAACATTCAAGAGGGTATTAACCTTTAAAAAAAAAAAGAAAAAGAAAACAACAACTTCTTTGACACCTCTAAGAAATTCTGTATATATTTTGGTTCACTTACGATCTCTAAGAATACATCACAGTATTACACATGTAACGACGTCTCCTTTCTATCTGTAAGGTGTCACATTGTACCATTCAATTAAAAATATTCTACGTTACAAGCCAATAGCTTCCACATCATAATAGAAGGTTGGTTAAAAAACACACACAACACAACTCTTTTTATTCCCGAAGGAATAAAATGAGCTGTTGGCTTATTCTGCTACCTAGTGCTAATTTAAAAATCAGTCTCGTCTGGAAAAGTACACTCATGACAAGTCTGAGCGTCCAAAGTGACCAATTTCATAAATATTAGGAATCCAACGCAAAAAAAGTCCTTTTACTTTATGATCACAGGCTAACTTATGACATGCTCAAATAAAACTCACCATGCAATAAAGTAACAGGAATCAGACTGGTACTGCTATACCTATGTATGAAAGCATTAACAATGAGATTTAATCTCCATATCCAAATAAAAGAATTAATTGTTTTACAAAATTAATCATTTACTTCACGATATGAATCTTAAACTGGGGGGAGGAGCAGGGGTTTTTTGTTTTTTTTTTGTTTGTTTGTTTGTTTTGTTTTGTTTTGTTTGCTTTTTAGCTTTTTGTTTTACCTGTGAAGTGCTCGCTTACAATTTATACATGTAACAAAGTGGCTGAAGTTACCAACTGCATACCTGAATAAGTTCCTTGTGCAGTAGAACAACAGGAACAAAACCAGTAAACTTTCCGTTTCATTGTTAGAATTCTGCAGTAACAAGTATTCCTATGACTAGAACATTAAGTGCACAGCCATAAAATAGATACAAAGAAAGCTTCATATGATATATTAACTGTATATACTGGAAAGGGTAAAACACTGTTCCATTAGAGTCCAAACAGAACAGCCCACTTTGTGTGACAAGTAGATGGTGGAAGGCCACTAGGAATTTTGTTACTGCTGTTGATTTCACATGGAAGGCACTCAGGACAGCGACGGGCAACAGAATAAAACTCAAAGACAGTCAGACAAACATGACAGATAAAGAAATGGTATTGTGTGCTATTTATATAGCTTTAAGAAACGTGCTTGCCAAAAAAAAAAAAAATTGCCTACAAAACTAAACTTTGATCATCCACAGCTCAAAACAGACTCTCTTAGTTTTACATAATTAGTCATATTGCATCCAGGCACAAACAAAAGCTGGTTAATACTGCCAAACATTTTCCATTTCACCACATGAGAGGAGGTGTTTTACACTATTTTTGTAAACAAGCTTTAGCTTCCCATCATTAGTTTATCAGTTGACTAGAAAATCTGAAAGTTCTGAAAATGCTTTCAAAACTCAAACTAGTATCTACAAGCAGATTTTCATAGACAACTTGCATAAAATAAAGAAAGAGAGGTGTGGAAGGCAGTTTACAAAAGAAACACCCTCACAAAAAAAAGGAAGCATGGATCTGAAGGACAGTTAACAAATTTAATATTAGATACTCGCACACTGTCAGAGCATGCAAGCTCTAAGGAGAAAAAAAAAAGAGAGAAAGCAAGCAACTGGAAGTACCACACAGGTCAAAGTTGAAAAAACTCTGCCAGTAAAATACCTAAACGATTTTAAAATCTGGCATTCTGTTTTGAATTTAAACAGCAACAAAAAAAACCCAAAAACAAAACAGGCAGCAGTAGCAGCCAAGTTAAGTAAAAACCTTATTTCCACAGGATTGCCAATAAATCAGTAAAGCGCACAACTATTTGTGCAGGACTGTCCTGGACTGCAAGTTGAGCTGCTAAATGCTACTGAAAATAGTTCATCAGTATTGCAAAATTTCAAGAAGTTACGTTTTACTTAATTGTTTATAAAAATACTAAAAACTTATGAACAAACATGGTGTTCTTTTATTCATTTAACCAAATTCTTACAAGTTTTATTGCCATCCAGGGTAGGAATTACATTTTTTATATATAATACTAGGGTGTCAATACTACCAAATTAAGATATGTCTAATACCTGAAGTGTAGTATTGGAAATAAATTTTCTTGAAATAGAACAGTCTCAGAATTGCAGTGATTTTCATAAGCTACAGAAGCCAGAGATACCACATACAGTAATAATACAATAAGCTAATAGGTTGGACTTCAAATATACAAGTAAGTTGTTTGTCACTGCTATACATTATTATGCTGCTGACATCAGTGTTCAAAATACCAGCAAATAGTCTGCTGCCATTACTAATGCTTGACACAGGTCCCAGTTAAAATTATGCACATTAGAAGCATTTGAGAGAGACTGTGCAATAGTTTCACTTTTTCAAAAATACGTAGATTCTTTAATGTTCTAATAATGCTGTGCGATTCTATGGTCTGTATAGACAATGCATTTTCCAAGTTTTCAAAAAAAAATGAACACCAATGTAGGTCTAACTCCTGCAAACTCCTCAGCAAGTGCTTATCTGTCAGCAAGTGACTATTACTATTCAAGTGAAGAATCCTACTTAAGTGTGTACATAAATAATTGTAGGATCAGAACCTTAACCAAAGCAACACTTTAGGTCACTCTTTACGGGCATTAAAGAAAAGTACAACACCCCTCTAACACGGGAACCTGAAATAAAAACAAAGCATTCTGAAGTACACATATTAAAAAACAAGACGTTTTAATTGAAAACGTATTCACCGAAACAGACAGAATATTTTACCAAAGTCAAAATGTCTAACAATTTGCCTAACAATTTTGTAAGCATCTTATTTTTCTATTAGCTAGCAAGTCTAAGTCACCCTAACCTTGAATTGTTGGGTTTTGTCAGCAATATTAGTGGATGCAATTTTGCATAAGTGATAGAAATATCAACCTGATCCTGCATATAATTATGAACAACAAACACCGACTTCTTAAAAAAGAAAAAAAGTTAATTGGTACAAAGTGCAACATGTTTAGACAGGCTTACACTGGAAAACTAGAAGTTCTTCCAGACTGGAATAATATTTATAAATATGCACAAACATGACAGAAGTAAACCAACATGGGAGTGGTAGAGAAGGAACTAACCAACATATATTCTTCATTGCATTTTTTGGATTGCCACAAGGAAAATCCCTCTCCCCAAAATAATAATAGATCAAATCAGTCATTTATACAGCACTATTAAAAAAAATACGGATCCTACAAGCTTAATGCCAAATTCTATCCTTGAATGCTTGTGTAGAATTTATGTACAAATCCCATTAACACTGCCGACTTGACCTGAAAAAATAAAGAGTTTGGGTTTAATCTTAAATATTTTACATCAAGTGAAAAAACTATTGAAGACTGCTTTTTTTAAAAAAGGTTCCCTTTCAGTATAAAGGACAATACCTACTTTTTTCAAACTTTAGTACTGAAAATAGACTTCTAAAAGAGATTAAAAGTGTATTTTTAAAACAAAATTAAACTGTAACAAATTAAGCCTGCAATCCTGTCTAGATAGACAACACACAGACAAGACTGGAGGCAAAATTAAAAATTCTGATGTCAGACCTAGAGTCAGTTACTCAGTTAAATGACACTCTCAACTTTCACAAAGAGCTAGAGATAAAGACCAAAATTACCAAATGTGAGCAGGGTTCTAGGGCTACTCTAAGTCACCCAACTGACAACACCTTTATGGGACCTGATGTTCAGGAAGTAACAAGTACTTGTTCTTTAGAAGTTCAGCCCTTCCAAATGACATCTTAATTTGAGCACTCCAGCTGTTAAAGTCCTTTCTTAAATTCTCAGATAATTGTTAATGCTAGTCTGAAGTTAAGGCACAAGGAGCAGATTCTCCTAACACAAAGTTTCATAAGTAAGTAGTTACAACTTTTTAGAGAAGGATGCACAAAACAAAACGTTCTTTCCACCACAACGTCATTAGCTTCAGTGCAACTTCCTGAAAATGAAACCAAAATATCATTTGCGAGACAATGACAAATTAACTTTGTGATGTGAAGCATTCAAATTCCCTCATAATAAAAGGACTGGTACCTTGAAGTCTGGAAGCTTACAACATACCATCAGGAATTCTCTGGGTGAGCAGTGATGCTGTTATACCAGTACTCACGAAACAAAGACAAGATCTTGCAAACCTTGTTCTATTAACAACAGACAATGATGAAATGTCCCGTTCTAGAGGGGACTCAAAGAACACCAGTGCTCGCACAAAGTCCTTCCTAAGCCCAAATACAGGACTTTTGCCATAAAAATCAAAATAGCCGCATTTTGGTTGCTATTCTAGATCTATACGCCATAACAGTTTAACCCTTCCTCCCAGCAGCATGATTCCTATTGGCCGATATGACAGCAAGTCCAATCATCCTTAAATCACCTGGTTGAAGAGTAAAGCCCAGCAGCCGCCCACCACCACCACCAGACTTTAGCACCATCCAGACTACAAACAAACGTTGCCTTCAAGAAGCCATGCACACTCAGGCAGATGTGAGAGTGTGACACCCGCCGCCAAATGTCAGCGGGAGAGCAGCAGAGCAGAGAGTAAGTTTCTCCAACTAAATAGATTTTTTTTTTTTAAAAAAGAAATCAAAAGCTACTATTGGCAACCACCTCCCTGAAGGTGTGGGGGGACCAAGACACCACGGCTGTGCCCACATTCTACCCCAGAGGGGAGAGAGCTCAGCCAAAAGTTACCTGTGGCTTCAGGCTGACTTCTCTTTCCCTCTCCCTAAACGAGGCTGGACTGGTGAGCGGGTCAGAGCATCCTCCAGCAGAAGCCCCCACAAGCAGGGCCCGAGCACAGACTCCTGGCAGTCCCCACTCCCCCCGCCCGGCCGCCGGCACAGGGAGGCGAAGCCCCGTGTCCCCGGCCCGCTGTGGGGGGG